TACTATTTCTTTATATTATTTACTAAATATATCTAATATTAATTAATACTATATGTTAATAATTATTGTTAAATAATGTTAAGTAATAATAATTAATATTATGGATTGATAGTTATATTTGTGTAACTAAATATCACGTGAACACGTGATCTTGTATTACTATTTCACGACTAATTAATGTGTGTTACAGACTATAAATATTTACTAAAAAAAAAATTATTAAGTTGTTATTATTTGTTACATAAACTAATATTCATTAATTAAATTTTTAAATATTATTTTAAAGATTATTATTAATTATTGCAGGTGTTTTTAATATTATATTATCATGATATTTTCATTCTGTAACAATGGTCCTAAATTAAAATTGTGAATAAAATCATGAACAAAATTGTGAACTTATAAAACTAATTTCATAAGTTAAATTTTGATAGTTTTGTTAAATTTTTAACAAATATAAATATAAATAACAACAATACAAGTAAATTTAGTGAAGAAGAAACCTTTATTTTTGAATATAACCATGATAACTTTTTTGAAATATATTAAATAGCAGAAAATAATTATATTGATTATGAGGTGGATAAAGAATATGATACAGAAGTAGTACATATAACAAATGAAATAGAAACAATAGACTCTGTAGCTTCTAGTAATAAATTAGAAGATGAAAATTATATGATACCACAAGAAATACAAGGGAAACTTATAGCTTGTTATATTATGGATTATAAAAATAAAAGTTTTCAAAAGTGTAGAAACGAAAAAAAATTACAGAAATTATTTCAACTAATTGGAATTTGTAAATTAAATAAGGAAGTTATCAATAGCATAAAAAAAGATTTTTCACATCTTGGAGTTTGCATGTCACACTTTAATTATAATCAGCAAATTCATGATAAAAAAGTAAAATCTATTATTTCGATTATACGTGTTGCCCAAATCCCAAATCATTTGAAATTTGGGATGCCAAAATCCCAAATTACTAGTATTTGGGATTTGAGATTTCAACAAAAAATACTATCATAATTTGGGATTTGGGATTTCGGCATTTGGGATTTCGGCATTTGGATTTTGAATTTGGGTGGCAGATATAATTTCAATAGAAAAAAGCAAACTTCATTATAGACGTTGTCACCGGTGGTCCTTAGTTTCTTCAAGAACTATCTAGTAAAGTGACTTAACAGTTCTTTTAAGGAATTTATAGTCCTTTCCCAAAGGTAAGACTGTTATTTCATTATTTTAGAAGGTATCACTGATTCAGTTATTTTAGAAAAGGAATCAGACCTTTCATTTAATGTATTCCAATATCTTTTCAAGTTCATCATTATCCGTAATATTAATACTTGTTCATTAATCATCTTTTAATTTCATCAACTTTAATTATTATTTCCAATTATCCAGTTTAATTATTATTTCAAGTCCAGGGTTTATTATAATAGTTTGTAATTAATTTCATTA